ACTTTACTCACTGAAAACATCCAACGTGTACTACCTTTTGGAAGTGAGTGTAACATGGAGGAGGAAATGAGACCTTGTGGGCAACTGTGAAGTCTAAAAAGGATTGCAGAGAATAAAGTTAAGTGTAGATTTGCTGTTGAAGTCACACAAACTCAATTAGAAACAAACTTTGTCCATCAAGGGGTCCTTTGGAGCCCATGAAACAAAATTTAGTCTATTTAATACCCTGTTATGACTGTCAGGTCAAATACATGGCTCAAAGTAGTATAACGGGGTCAGTCAGACAAGTGAATCACAAAGTCCTAGCAAAATGTAGATTAAGTGACCGTAACGAGATAAGAAATATGGAGAGTAGTTCGGTTATGGCACTACATGCAATTGCAAATAACCAAACGATAGAATGGGGTAGGATGACAGTTGTAAAATCTAATATAGCAGGGTCGAGGGACAGATTGATAATAGAAGCTTTATTTATCGAATTAGCTGAGAATACGTACAATAAGAATGATTCAAAATCTCTGCCGAATATCTGAAAAGTTCTACTACCCCAAAACGAACAGGAAGGAATAAATAAAAATATGTAACTGAAGTTTTGAAGTTGGGTGGTTATAACTGATATGATTATGAACAGTATTAAATTGTGTTCGAAACGTCATCCAGTAAATAATACTGTTTCACTGTGTGGTATTTCTAATAAACCATTACGGAATTATATTTCTCTTTCTTCCAAGTGACACGACATGCCACGTCTTCGAGTGAAACCCGAATGGGAAGCGATTGTAAGTGTAAAGAATGACACGCAGAAGACCATGTAAGGAGGAAACGGAAGGTTGTGTTGGCAGTCGTACCGCCAGCGGAAAGTGAAGGCGTAGGAGCACGTGCAATGTTCATGAGTCAGTGAAGCTCTGTATTCATTTTGGAATGAATAATATTCAAAGTGACAAATGAAATTAGATTCTTAGTATATCAGCCAAGTTGATAATATGGTAGACTAACGGATGGACACTTATAATAATATGCAAGCGACAAAAACACACATGAAAAGTTCAACTGGTGGAAATCTGCAATTTGAGAATTACACAATTCGAGGTGAGAAATGTCACCAGTATGTGGTCTAATCGATATCACAAATGGTAGTCAACGAATCAAACAGCAGTGTATGATGGTATCTACTACCGACTGACTGGTGTGAGTAATTGAACCCCAGTTGTATACTACTAACTCATATATGAAGATCATGTTAGCGCTACTTGGTGCCACTTAATGGGCCTAGATGAATCATTAATATCCATTAAAACTCTGGCGCAAACATCTGTATGACTAAAGAAGAGACCGATAGTTATCTTTCAAGAATAGTTTATAATAAGAATTTAAGACCACCAAATAATCGTTATCAAGAATGGATAGAGTCAGAACCTTCTATGTCTAGATCTATCCTGTGTCATATTAACAAATTTCAGGTAGCGGAGGATATCATGCATGATGCATACCTCAAAGATGTCATGATAGGCTACAGTAAGTGAACTTTTCCCGGACAAATCTTATTCATAGTGTCTTAAAACACGGTGCCTTCACCGAGTCGTATTTCGTGCCCTGTCAGATTATTATTATTATTCCCTTGGGTTCCTAGTGGAACATAGGGCTTCAACTGCACGTCTCCACTTGCTTCTGTCTTCTGCTGTACTTTTCACTTGCATCCATGTTAGTCCATACTGTTTCAACTCTTCTTCACACGATCTCCTCCATGTCTCCTCCATCTCCTTGGACGTCCCACTCGCCGCTCCCCTTTCGGGTTCCACTCGAGCACTGGCCTGACGTACGATGTCACCCAACGGCCTCCTCCTCAGCGAGTGTCCAATCCATCTCCACCTTCTCTTGCATATTTGTTGGGCGATGGGTTCTTGTTTTGTTTGTTCCCATAGTTTCTTGTTGGTGATTCTTTCCGGCGGCCATCTGATCTTGAGTATAGAGCGACGAAGACAGTTGTTGATAAAGGTCTGTGTAACCTGTTGGAAATATTCTTTGTGACACACCGGCCAAGTTTCTCATCCGTATAGAAGAAGTGACTGACTTGACGTTTGTATAGGGAATCCGAATTTTGTTGTTGATGCTGAGTGAAGTGACGAAGATTTCCAGATTGGTTTCAGGTTGATGAATGTGTTTCTCGCCTTCCCGATTCTCGATTTGACATCCTCGTCCGTTCCTGCTGTAGTTGAGACAATGCTCCCTAGATAAGTGAATGAAGTAACCTCTTTCAGATCCCTCCCGTTGATGGTGATTGGCGCTGGATGCCGGTCAGATTATACAATCAATGAAACACCAGACTAAATGTCGCTCTGTATTACAGCCCTTACCTACCAGGTATCACTCAGCATTTAATATCAGAATCCGTAAATAACTGTTAGATTGTATATGCATCAGCTGTTAAACTAATCACAAGAAAAAAACCCAATATCATGAGCATGTAAAACAGACACGGAAAAAACAAAAACATAGAGAAGAAGTACAACGAGAAGTGTTCAGTTTTCTATCCACTGATTTGTTTTTTTGTTTTTTTTGTTTCATCCACTCTTTAGTTACTTAACACCCTATGGATATACATGTGAGCACAACCAAACACAAACTCATATGCTCAAGGAATAGACAAAAGACGGAGAAATGTATTCTACAGTATCAACTGTTTTTTAAGTTACTACAAAAAATTAACAGGAAAATAAGGAGATACACTAAACGCATATCGTCTCCCGTTGTTATTGCTGTTGTTTTGGTGGTCGTTATTGGTTTTAAGTACTGCTAAGGTAATAAATTATAAGGCTTGAGAAAGCCTATTGATACTCTGTTGGTAAACAAGTGAAGTAATAACAATAATGATAAGGAACCATATAGTCATCTTGTTTGTTGTTAATTGCAACCTGGAAATCTTAAAAATGAAAACAGTGGTGCATATATAAATAAATAAAATAAACACTCCTCAGTTCACACCAGGGGGAATTATACAAAAGAGAAACAGAAAACCTTAAGAAATTTAATACCCTGTTTAATGGACTGTATTGAAACAGAGAATGAAAACTGTTAATACAACAGAAAAGATAGAACAGTTCAAACGAAATACTGGTAGCTGAATACGAGTTGCGTTCTCTAATTCATGCAGTCATTCGTTCATTAAGAAAAGAGATGTTCTTCCTGCGTATGCTTATTTCCATAATCACTGTCTACGGGAGAAATCTAAAAAAAGTCGCCTCTTTCACTAATCTAGGCAACATTGTTTCAACTACCAGCCGAACAGATGAGGATGTTGAAGGCAGGAGAGAGAGAGAGAAAGTAAGATAGACTTTCACCACTTTGAAATCAGTGTGGATATCTGCTGCACTTAGCATAAGAAAGAACATCCAAAATTAATATCAAATCAGTGTGTGTTACAAAAAGCATTTCCAACAACCAACTGCAGACTTTTATCGACAACTGCCTTCGTTGACTGTGTGTATATTTGAAGATCAGATAGCCAGTTAGAAAGGAAAGGAGAATGATTGGGCATAAACTGAGGACACCATTCAGTGACATCGCACCCTATGCAGGCAGAACTCAAATGGGAAATGACGAGTTGAGCCCGTCTCTACGGGTGACATGGAGGAGATCGTTTGAAAAAGAAATGAATGCCTATGCGAAATTGTGCAGCCAGGCTAAAGAGGCTGCAAAAAATAGAGTGAAATGGAGATGTGCTATTGAAGCCCTATACAACACTAGGAACTAAAAGGAATAAATAATATAATGCTAATTTTAAATGGCAGCTAAACTGTTGATAAACTACTACAGAACGTGGGGTATTATCGAAACCTTCCCACTCGAAGTTGAATTTTTCAGAGTGAAGACACAAAGCAGTAAAACACAGTCAAAGCAATAACGAAAACATTAGACTAGATATGCTAAAGTCTTGTCTACCTTCAGTAGGCCCTTTTATTCGATAATAGCATTCAACCAAACAAAAGCTGAGCCTTTCAAAAGATATTCAGCAATAAAAGACAACTACTCCATCTCACGTACATACAGTTGAAACACTGAAATTCTTTATTGTGTCACCTTTAATTTAATAGTCAGTTTGAAATTGCTATTAGAGTATAGGATAACGAAAGTATGCGAAATAAAATCCTTGAGGACACAAAGAAGTTTGCCTTTAGGGGAAAGAAAAAGCTAAAATGGCAGAAATGAATGCATAAGAAATGAAGACTACCTACACAAGCATGCAAACTGAAGGGAGAGGGTTGTAAGTATGCATCTATGATCATGCACACACACACACACAGTGTGTTCTTTGATGCTGAAGACAAAAATGCGTTAATACGAGCTGAGAACAGGTAGGAAGGTGTAGACTTCCTGGCTGGGGTCCTCGGGACGGTAAAAACCAATAAAGGCTGGAGACAATTGGTGATATGGCTCAAAATCGTTCTCAATGGCTGGCGCAGATGCATCCACTCCTTGTGACTTATAATTTCCAATGAAACTATATTGATCTTCGATATTACTATTCCTTTTGTCTCATATCCCTGTCTACTGTGTCTATTTTGCATTTCTTCTACTTTCTTCTGTTGCTTTGTGTGCTACAAGGAGTGGAGTGTGACGACTTGAACTGCTGCACATCGGTGCAAAGTTCTATGTTGAAAACAGACAGACGGCAGACTTTTTTCTCGTTAGCACTAATAACTGAGAAGCGTATCGGAATAATTTCGTGATATATCTTCCGGTTAGACTTATAAGTGAAATATGAATTGATAACAATTGTGAACTAATCAGAAGTAGTGTAATACTACCAACACCTTTGTACATACTCGTGTACAAAGTGTTGAGTAACACCTGAAGACTGAATCGATCTAGCCACCGAGATCTCAGTAGGAAAGGAGTCTCCCTGGCATTTGACTTGCTGCCTAAAAACTAACTAACCAGTAATAATGAATTATAGATCTGAATAACACAAACGTATACAGACATGTTAAAAATATGCTTACCAGAGTAATCGGTCTGCATCTCATCAGTTTAATTTTTTCATCAGTATACGGAGAGAAGTTTTGATAAGCTTGACTTATTGTAAGTATAGTCTCATATAGCCCAAGATGATCATTTGACGGCCGACTACAAATTCCATAACGACCAGTAGTTGATGGCACTGAATTACTTGGCATTTCAGAACTACCTGAAGGCGGGGGAAGAAACGCTGAAGTATGTCCCCCAGCTGCACCATTTCCACCACCTGTTGCATCGATTCGCATAGAATTTGGGACAGAATTATGCTGCATAACCATACTAGCCTCGGGACCATCTCTACCACAATCAGGACCACGTGTTCGTCTTGGCATTCGACCATAGCGTACACTGTCTTTAGACATACCGGCAGCAAGACATTTGCGGAAACGACAATACTGACAACGGTTACGATTCAGGCGTATCACAAGACACTTTCCATCTCTTAAACATTTATACTCGATTTGCTTTTGAATACTTCGACGAAAGAAACCCTATAAATAAATGTAGAAAACAAAAAACGGAAACATGAGAAAATACCAATTTGCACAACACAGTTTATCGTTCAATGGGATAAACTTCAAATTCTAAGAGAGTATGATCAGTGAGTGTGTGATTCTTGTTTACTGATATAATTCTACAAGTGAGTGTAGTTCCATGTAGTAGGCTACAATTATTAATGATCAAGTGAAAGCCAACGATATTACTTATCTGGTTTCGTCATGAGTTGACACATCAGTCAGTGAACCATTGGAAAACCTGGGAGTATTGGAGAGCTGTCTCGTCATAGTTTGGGGCTGCTCATCGGTAAGCACCCATTGACGTTCGAACCCAGGACCTTCTGGTTACAAGGCTGGTGAGCTCGTAGACCCTTCAGCCACTGGGACCCGATCCGATGACCCACTAATCCAAACCGCCTCAAGATAAGTCGGGATGTGCGATTTTCGGGGTCGACCTTTACTAACACCCCCGCCGTGTCGCACTCCACATAATGAAGAGACAGCATGGCAGACGTGCCTCACTTCTTTTACACCTCTACTCACCAGCAGTACGCATTTGACACAGACCCACTCAACGTAGTAGTATAAACGGCTTACATTATGAAGGCAACTGCTTTTAGTCTAGTATAGTAGGACCTGTAGGAACATTACTTTAGTCCAGCGTAGCTCGTCAAGTAATTATGATATCTAAATCCGACCACCAAGTCAAGGCAGCAGCTATCGGGTGAGGCCAAAATTTCGAACACCTTCCTTTACTATCCAAAGTCTGAGGAGACTTTTGTTATCAGTAGGCCTCATACAACAGGTATGATTCAATAATGATTGCTGAGTTAAATTATTATTATTATTACTACCACCATGAACTGTAGTGACTTGAACGGATACACATCTGTGAACTGTACATTATTTTTCAGACTCAAGTTGATAGTAATGAAGGATCAGATGAATGCCCTAGAAATATTATATAGTATCATACTGCAAATATTCCTCATGTATACATTTATCTTCGTATTTGTATCAATAAGTAAGATGTCTGAGAAAGTTATGATTTAAAATCACAGAAAGAGTTTACACAGAATTAAAGCAACAATCATATTTTTCTTCTTTTCCTTATTGATTGATGATGCTGGACCTAAATGCTTACTCTCTGTTTGACATATCAGCTCCTAATACGGAAGCTTCGACTATGTCTTAGGAATGACGCGAAGTTGTTTCGCCTGGTGGTGGGTGACTAGCATCAGAATTCGAGATATGCGTTTCGTCCAATCCAGGACTCGTCGCCTGGACATATCAGCACTGCCACTGAGTGATGGTGTTCCCCCACCGACACCAACACATCATCGACTAGGCCACGTGAGTCACGTTTGAAACGATGGGCACTGGGTGGGTTTGAGTCTATGTGAGTAAACACCATCACTTACTGGGCAGGGGGTGCAGCTACTTCCAGCTGATGATGAGTCCCAAATTGAACGAAATGCTCATTTTAGATTCCATTATAATAATGCTATTACTTCAGATGAAGAAATTTAGGCTATGCCATAGTTAACATAATATGTGAATGATACAATGAAGCAAATATAATATAAATTATCTGTGTCAAAAATGAAAAAAACAAACAACAAATTATCAGACAGGTTAAAAGTTTATAGGTCACTGAACTTCACTTGGCAATAACGGGTGTATATATCTGTTAGGCTTGATAACCAAATAAACCCACGCACGCAAGTGTGCATGGGTGTGTGTGTAAGTGAGTGTATAGAATGGAGTGTGGAAAAAGAAAAATAACAATAGTAGTAATAATAGTGATAATAAGGTGAGGCAGCAATGAGGAAGACTGTGAATATCCACTGTATATAACTGACTGATATGATTTATAAATAATATAATTCAGCTTTTAAATAAGTATCAAATGCAGAACACCATAGCATAGACAAGCAATATGTATTTAAAGTAGAGTAAACGTTAGATGGTTGGTTAGTTGAATGTAACCATTTAAATCTCAAATTATTTTCCTATATTTTCAAGTATTGGTTTTGTAGGGATTCAGTTTGATTAGATGGAGGATTTCATCATGAGCTGACATCAGTTAGAGAACCACTGGAAAACCTGCTGGGAGTACTGGACAGCTGTTTCGTCCTAGTTTGGGACTCTTCACAGTACGCACCCACCAACGGGGTTCGAACCCAGGACCTTCTGGTTACAAGGTTACTAGGACGAAACAGCTGTCCAGTACTCCCAGGTGGTTTTCCAGTGGTTCTCTAACTGATGTCAGCTCATGATGAAATCCTCCATGCAATCAAACAAAATCCCTACAAAACCAATACTTGAAAATTAATCTGATGTTCACTAGTGACTGGCCCTATTCAGGCAGTTAACCTGGGGTTCTAGTGGGAAGCCGTGACCAGTAGGGTATAGCAGGTTGAAGATGCGGGAGTAACTCATCGAAGAAGACACTGCGAAATGGTCGCGCTATGTCGTGAATTGGCAGAAGTTAGAATTCATACACTGGCCATTGGATCGGGTCCCAGTGGCTCAATGGTCTACGAGCTCGTTGGCCTTGTAACCAGAAGGTCCTGAGTTCGAATCCCGGTGTTTTCTATATTTCCCAATGAAATATCTGAACTGAATTTAAAGCAATGGGTGCAAGATTCCAGTCTCATCGGGAACACTACTACTACACTCAAATAGGAAATGGTACACACTCAGATGACGAGTCTCAAACAAAGACGAAACTCGCATTATAGATTCTACCGCTAGCCACTTTTTAAAAATTTCTATTGATTTACAGATGTAAAACTGATTTTATGATTCAACATTACATGATACAGATAGTGGTAACAAAATTTACAAGTGGGTTATAGGAGAGGCGACAGTAGTGGAGATGAATTTCATTAACAAGCAAGCACTCGACTTACAGCCAGAGGGGTTCCCAGGTTAGAATTCCATCCCAGAAAACTTCAACCTGACCAAGTGGCTAGTAGTATTCATCCTTACATAATGAGGATAGCTCATGACAATATACACAGTCAGATAGACTAAATATTCTTGCATTTCATGTAACGAATGCTTGGTTCAGAATTTTTTTATTATAGCTTGATTTCACACTGTATTTTTGGTACAAGTATGGAATTTTCAGCATGTGATATCGGTAGCCCAAATTTTGCAGGCCGACCAATTGATATCATGTGTCGTCGGCAGGGGATCGAACCCCGGACCATGTGCATGATCGGTGAGAGTCATAACCGCTGTGCCACCGACGCACAAAATTAATTTAATTATTAAATATGCAAAACATTCAAATGACTAGTCTCAGAACATCAGCAGGAATAACACAGTCTGGTCTATGTGGTAAACTATGAATCCTAAAATGCCCAACAAATGTTAGTGACATTAGGAATTCTTGCGCAAGCATTACAATCTTTTAGAACAAGAATAATTTAGAGAGAACAATTCTTTCCAAATGACTTCTTCTGGCCTTACAGTGTTCGCATACAATAGCTAATTAAAATCAAAATCAAAAATATTTCAGAAATCGTATTAGCGTACATAAAAAGAAGATGGAATAATAATAATAGTACATTGGTTTTGATTATCATGTCAACGCATACAAAATATATAGGATATATAGAAGAAGCAGTAACTCCTCGAAGAAGACATTGCGAAATGGTCGCACTATGTCGTGAATTGGCAGAAGTTAGAATTCATGGGCTGGCCATTGGATCGCGTCCCAGTGGCTCAATGGTCTACGAGCTAGCTCGTTTTGTAACCAGAAGGTCCTAGGTTCGAACCCCACTGTGGTGGGAGCGTACTGATGAAGAGTCCCAAACTGGGCTGACGAAACAGCTGTCCAGTACTCCCAGTTGGTTTTCCAGTGGTTCTCTAACTGATTTCAGCTCATGATGAAATCCTCCATGCAGTCAAACAAAATCCCTACAAAACCAATACTTGAAAAATGTCTAGAGCATAAAATAACAACAACAACCTCGTGCGTCGGTGGCATAGCGGTTAGGACGCTCGCCGACCATGCACATGGTCCGGGGTTCGATCCCCGGCCACAGACTCACTCCTTTACCTCGCTAAGCCAGAAATAATGCTGGTGAAGAGGAAAGGTTGGGCATGAGACTAGCAACCCCATCCTGTAAAATAAACACTGCTACAGAAACTTCAAGCCACTAGCTTGAAGCCCTATGTTCCACTGGGGAACGTGAAGGAAAGAAAAAAAAGAATGTGACCAGCTTGTGTATTTATGATCAACAAAAGTATACCGTTTCAAGTGGTGATTAGCTGTTGTATTCACTGATATGTGAGAGAAAATATGATGAATACTATACAGAAATAAACACAAAAACGTCGGGCAGTCTGAATGTAAGTTATAACAAGATTAGTGTACTATCTAGATATAATGGAGAATGTTTACAAACAATTTAGAAAAGTGTGATTAGCTGAGGCCAAATATGACATTCATCTTACTAACAGGTAAGGAAAAATGAGTTCATTTCGTTCTACGTGACTTAAGCTGTAAAAAAAATTTAAATCAAAATTTGGAATTATATGTCCAGGGAATTTGATTCTTATCCAATCAGTAAGCAGACTTTCATTAACGCTGACAACTCTAGTGTCTAAAACTGATATTGTGAAATGAAATATCTGTGTGGATAGTAATTATAACTGTTGTTTCCCCCACGTCGGTGGCACAGTGGTTAGGACTCTCGCCGACCATGCACATAGTCAGGGGTTCGATACCCTGCCGACGCACACCCGATATCTATGGTCGGCCTGCAAAATTTGGGCTACCGATATCACATGCTGAAAATTCCATACCTGTACCAAAAAATACGGTGTGGAATCAAGCTGTAATCAAAAAATATATATAGACAGCTATATTACGTTGATAGTGGCTAGCAGACCAGTGGAATCCAGGATGCGCATTTCATCCTGTCCAGGACTTATCATCATCTGGATGTAACACTTGCATTCCAAATGACTGGTAGTGT